ATTAAAGGAATGACATACAAATCTGCACAAATTATAATAATATATAAATTATAACTAACACAATATTTGATTGTGTAATATCTTTTAATAGAATATTTGACATATATTTTATTTGTGAATATGATAGTATGAATGAAGAAATATACAAATAAAATAAAAGTAGAAAATAAAGATTAAAATATTAATATTCATCGACAGTTAAATTTCTTTTTTTTAATTTTATAGCATACCGTTATCTTGAAAGTTATTTTTTATAAGTAAAACACGATATTTTTCCTTATTTTAATGTCTTTTACTTCTTAATTTTAAAATAACTTTTGTTGGAAAAATAACAAAAATACCAAAGAATAAGTGAAGCAAAATCCGTATAACTCTTTTTTATATAAATAATACGGAAAAAAATGTACAAAATAGAAAAGGTAGAAGTTAATAGGCATAAAAACTTTTTAATGTGAAAAAATATCAATATGAAGAAATTTTTTTAAGAGATCTAATCGGGTAAAATCTTACACTTATAGTAATTAAGGAGTACTCCACAAATTATCTTATAGTTTCAAAGAATCAACAGACAAATATTCTCTTTACTAATAAAGTGGATAATAACATAACAAAAACTTAAATGTGTACTTAACCAAATAGTAAAAGAATAAAACATTTTTTATAAATTAGCTTCTTTACACAAACTTGCAGCATAAGATAGAGTGATTAGTCTCTTTTTCTTATATTTATTTATTTTTTTTTTTTAAGATATTCATAACTTTTGTCTATATATTTCTCGCTATTATATATTTTCCTTGTAATAATATAACGTAAAAGGTTACATAATTTTTAAATTATAGACTATAAATCTATAAAAAAAAGTAAAATTTTCATGAAATCGGTGTGAATTCAATAAGTTGGTGATTTATATGACATTTTTGTTAAGTGAATTAAATACGAGGACATTTTTTTCCATTACTTCTGGATTTATATCCTAAATGATCCGTTCATTTTAATTAATAAAATATTTTCCTACCATTAGCTGTTGATTTTATTTATTTTTTGAAATATTTCTTTTTAAAAAGGGTATCGACAAGATAAACAACAATTTTGGTGTTGCCTACTACAGCAATAACACTTTATCATATATCACTTACAAAACTGTTTTTCTGTAAACTTTTTGGGTTTCTTTTAGATAAAAATTGTTATCGTAAATCACTAAAACATATGTTGTCTCTGTGATACAAACAAAAATCATTTTATTCGTATTGTGTTTTTGAAATAATTTGGTTAGAATATGAAGATAACTCACGCAACTCTAAAACTGTTTTCATATAAAAATAGAAGGATTTTCTTATAACATGCAAACACTACAATTTTTAAGTATTGTTGTTTATTTTAGCAATTATTCTAACATAATACCCATCTATATCATTATACAAAAGAGGATATACTTTTTTTAGTGTGATCTTTCGATCAGACAATTTTATCTTTTAATAAATAAAAAATATTTTATTTAATAAAATTAGTAAAATAAGTTTTCTTTATTTTCAAATAACTAAATAATTTTTCCTTACATGACTTTTTTTATATTATTTTATAAAATACTTTATTTAATCATTTAATAAAAGAAATAAACAAGTAACATATATTTACTTTAAAATATATATAGGTAAATAAATTATCTTTTTTAAAAATAAAGATTACATTATTTTTTAATATTATTTTTGCAAAAGCATATATATATATATATATATATATATATATGATTTTTAATTCATTATTCATAAAAAATGATAAAATTGTATATTTTAATGTAATTAAGAATGTAAATAACTAAGGATATTGAAGTTAGAAGGAGGCAATAATAAATGTGAATCTTCTTGATAAACATGATAATAACAATAATAAGTATGAATTTTCTTAATAGAAATTTTAATAACGTTTAGTTAAATAGTGTTAAGTGAGAAATATAGTGATGTGTTTATTTTATAATCATGTTAATGCATTTATGTTTGTGTATAAGTAAAGAACATTGTTGAGTAATCAAGGTGCAGTAGTGTATTTTTTTATGTCCTTATTGAGACTATGTCTTACAAGTAATTAATGAATATTGCATAATTAAATAATTTTATAGCTTTTATTTTTCATAGTTATAATTGTAGATCAATTTGATAATATGCAGCTTATTGAAATAAAATTTTAAATTTGATTAGCTAACAAGATATAAATAATACTATTAATTCTGCATCTCAGTTCTATAAAAATAAGTTATCATTCTTATGAGTGTCATAAGAAATTTGTTAACATCTTCCTACCAAATATTTTATGTAGTCTTACATATAGTTACTATTAATTTTAGTAATCTAAAACTAAAATATAATACTTGTAATTCCTAGCAATATACCACATTAATTAACTACTTATATACATGGAATAGATGATTAAATAACCTTTACAAATTATGTATAATAATATTAATGTTTACGACTTAAAAATAAATTTCAATATTTCTAAAATATTTTTTATTTTTATATTTTTAAAATAAATATTATAATATAAAAGTCGTAATTTAAAATCCTAAAAGATGAAAAGTGAAAAAATATATTTAAAAAACTAAAACGAAAAATCATACATTTCATCAAAACTAAAAACGATAGTTTCAAAATATATAAGAATAAAAACAAAATAATGAAATCAAATGAAAACTTGTTAATTTTAAGGAGAATATATACAATTTAACTAAAGAAAATAGAAAGATAATAATGATGCGTGTTCACATTTTTTTTATCATTATGTTATCTTATAATTATTTCGTAAAATTACTTTACAATAAAAGATATATTTTAAATATTCTACAATTTGGGCAGTTTTTTCTGATTATTATTATTTTTATTTGGCAATTCTTTTATATTTTGAATTATTTTTTATTTTTTAGCACCATTACTATGTAATTTAACATCTCAAAACATATTTATCATTTTCCATCGTGTAAAAATTTATCAAATTAAAGAATAAATATAACAAAGAATACAACATAAAGATTGTAATAAAGAAATGCATACACAATATAGAAAAAAAAAGTTGTTTAACACCTAGACAATCAGGTAAAATACCTATTATAAAAATAAATTCAAACTAATAATTATAAACAATGCATTTTTCAATTTAAATTTATGTTTATAATGACTTTTCTCACTAAAAATACCTCTTAAAAAATATGAGAACTTTAATTTTTTTTATATTTTTTTTCACCTTTTAGATAATTTCCTTTATCTTGAATTTGATGTTATGATTTAAAAATGTTATTAAGGGAAAAATATTAAGAAAAAAATGAGATAGTTTTACATGAAAAAAGACAAAGGTAAAATTTGTATGAAAAAGCTTATTGTTTAAAATAAGGTCAAATTGGTTGACCATTAGAATTCCAACGGCGGCCCCTACGCCCTTTGTTCTGGTTATCTTTTCTCTGCCTCCTCTGCTCTCTTCCTCTGTCTCTCTCTTTCTTTCAAATGTTATAAAGCCAACAACAACACAGCAACAACCAAACCACACATAACAGTTCTGCACCCCAACACACATCAAACATACACTCATTTTCAACATCATGGAACTTTTTAAGATTCTTTTTGTCTTTCTCATCACTCTGCTACTCATCTTCAAGCTCGCACTCTCTTTCTGGTGGAGACCAAGGAAAATTGAAGCCCATTTCTCCGACCAAGGAATAAGAGGACCTCCTTATCGTTTCTTCCTCGGAAATGTTAAAGAACTTGTCGGAATGATGATGAAAGCCTCTTCCCAACCCATGCCTTTCTCTCACAACATTCTCCCCAGAGTCCTTTCCTTCTACCATCACTGGAACAAAATTTATGGTACGTTATTTTTTTCTTATCACCATTACTACCTCTCTCCTTCACACACCCTGCCACTCTCCCTCCTACACGCATACATTGTCTCCAATCTTGCTTGCATGAATGTTTTCTCACACTTGTTCATACCCATATTGTTTCTCTTCAAAGGTTCAAAGGTCTGTTACTTTTCCTGGTTTTGAGACTTTCAAGGCCTCATTTCTGGAGAAAGGTAGCTTTTTTGCCGTTTCTTTTCCACCGGTAACTGTTTATTGCACCACCTCCTTTCTCGATCAACTTTTTTTCTTGTTTTCCCATTTTATGTGTTTCTCTCTGTTTTTTCTGATACATCGTTGTGGTAGTAAAGTAATGCCCAAAGTCCGCAACTTGGAGTTTGACCCCAACATCGCCATTTCTGAGTTTTTTCAGCTTACCAGGCAATCACAGTTGTAGTCGTATTTATCCATAACTTCCTGCAGTATGAGTAACAGTGACAATGACTACTGCAACTTTTTAAAACCTTAATTAACCTCAACTTCTGTATGTTAATCACATATTTATTAGGAACTGATTCCTGTCCGGTACAGATGTCAGTTATACAAAATTAAGGTACCCATTTTTCCCAGTTTATTTTCTTACAAGAAAAAAGAAATACCAGGCTTATAAATGAACCCTTCTTACTTATATCAGTTCAATTTTGTTGAATGCGAAGTTGTCATCTGATTTTGCTCTTTCCCATGTCTTATTTTTCTTGTGTTGTTATATGGGGAATTGAATTGTGACAATGTAGTTGTATGTGTTTGGTAACCGTTTTTAAATTGACTTGTCTTCTTCAATTCCCTCCTCCTCCTGTTTTTTGCCACCTCTCTGTTAATGTCTCTGTGCTGTAGGGTCTACACCGTCCTTGCACCCTCTGAAACCAACGGTTGTCATGTTTCCTGCATCTTTCATCATTTTACAAACTTCACACTTCCTACACAACCCTCTGTGGTAGTTCCACCTTCATGTAAAAATGTCTCATTTTTTTTTCTCACATCATAAAAATAATGCCATTAATGCAAAATTACACATACCATTCAATTGCATAATCATTCGATTCATTAATTAATAAAAACATGAATTATATTTGATAAAGGTTCGACGTTCCTGGTTTGGTTTGGACCCACCGTTCGAGTCATCATCTCTGATCCAGACCTCATCCGAGAAATCTTGATCTCCAAGTCAGAATTCTACGAGAAAAACGAATCTCCCCCACTTGTCAAGCAGCTTGAAGGTGATGGGCTCCTGAGCCTAAAAGGAGAAAAATGGGCTCACCACCGAAGAATCATCTCTCCCACCTTTCGTATGGAGAATCTCAAAGTAACTTACAGTATTATATAATAATATGTTAAATTGTTCATGTGTGCCTTTTTTTTTTAATTTATTTTAATGGCGTAAATAAAAAAAATACACTTTTGTAGTTGTTGATACCGAATATGGCAACAAGCGTGGTTGAGATGTTGGAGAAGTGGAAGACAATGGCCGAGAAGGGTGAAGTGGAAATCGAAGTTTCAGAATGTTTTCAAACCTTAACAGAAGATGTAATAACTAGGACAGCGTTTGGAAGCAGCTACGAAGACGGGAAAGCCGTTTTCCGGTTACAAGCCCAACAAATGGAACTGGCAGCCGATGCCTTCCAAAAAGTGTTCATTCCAGGTTCCAGGTAAGAAACAAGAAACAAGAAACAAGAAACAATCCCTGTGTAATTAATTAATGAGAGTAATATTTTGAAACTTGGGTTTGTTTAGATTCTTTCCGACGAGGAGGAATTTAAATTCTTGGAGATTGGATAAGAAAATGAAGAGATCATTGGTGAAGTTGATCGATAGACGAAAAGAGAATGCGTGTGGGAATGAAATTACGAAAGGAGCGAAGGATTTGCTGGGGCTTATGATTGGAGCTTCCGTAACGGTGGATGACATGGTGGAAGAGTGCAAGACATTTTTCTTTGCAGGGAAACACACAACTTCCAACATGCTGACGTGGAGCACTATTCTGCTTGCTATGCATCCGAAGTGGCAGGTAGAGGCACGTGAGGAGGTGGCGATGGTGTGCGGTGCACGTGGCATCCCTACCAAGGACGATATCGTCAAGCTTAAGACAGTAAGTAAGCAAGTGTGCATAATCATATATAATCTTTTAAGCAAGTTTTTGTTTTGTTTTGTTGGGGATTGAGACAAAAATCATGTTTTGTCTCTTGGGGCCTTGTTTTCTGTGTTGGTTTCCTCACACAAGGAAACCCAACTGCGGCCCTTTCGGCTTTCCTGTTTCTTATCTCAAGGAAGCATGTAGGGGCAGTGTTATCGTTTCCCTCTTCCAACTTTTGTTTTCGTTTAACAAACGTTTGTTGCAGAGATTAAAAACACTTCCCTCAAAATTCTCGAATCTTTCCTGGGTCATCAACTTGTCGATTCTCGTATCAAACACTTAAATACATATAAATTTTAATAATTATGAGGTAGGGTTCTTTTAAATAATTGAAATTCATTTTATAATGAGAAAGAAACATTTTCTTGTGAAATTCATATTTGCAGTTGACGATGATCGTGAACGAGTCTCTAAGGCTGTACCCTCCGACCATCGCAACCATCAGAAGGGCCAAAGCTGACGTGGAGCTAGGGAAGTTGAAGATCCCGTGCGGGACGGAGCTTCTGATCCCCATCTTGGCCGTTCATCACGATCAGGCCACGTGGGGCAGCGACGCGAACGAGTTCAATCCTGGCCGTTTCTCCAACGGCATGTCTCGCGCTGCGCGCCACCCTTTTGCATTCATCCCCTTCGGGCTCGGTGCGCGAACCTGCGTGGGACAGAACCTGGCGCTTCTTCAAACGAAACTGACCCTGGCCATCATGCTTAGCCGTTTCAGTTTCAAATTGGCCCTTACCTATCGCCACGCGCCAACGGTCCTCATGTTGCTCTACCCTCAGTATGGCGCGCCGATCATTTTCCAACCCATTGCCACAACCGCAACCACCGTGGATTGTTGATGATGATGATCGTGTTTGTGTAGAATGAGTGTATATTGGGTTCCGTTTAGGGATCAAATCCCCCCTTATGTCTTTTGGAAAATTCAAGACACAAAAATTAAATATGTATGGATTTGGGTTATATTAAGCGTTTAAAACAGTTTTTTAAAACTTTAAAATTGCCAAAAACATATTAGAGGCACCTGGTTTGTGTTACTTGTATCCTTTACGATCAACAAGCTTTTCAATATTCTTCTACGATTTTTAATGTTTGATTATATATATATGGTACATTTGAAATACAATTTGGTAATTATGTGGATAATAACATTTAATTATTATATTATTAATTTAGAATTAAGTATGTTTTTACTTTATAAATTAAATATAAAATAAAAATTTGTTTTATTTTAAATTTATATATAATTTATTCTTCAAACTTTTAAAGAATAAATAGATATTATTAAGCTCTAAACCCTCGGATGGTCATCAAGTTTGTTCGAAAATCTCAAGTGGGTCCTCGTATTTGAAACGTCTCAATTGAGTCTAAATATTTGTAAAATTAAGCCAATTTTATCCTCTCCGTTAAATTATCACAGACGGCGTTAAACTGTGATGACGTGATGCACACTTAAAATGCTGATGTAACAATGTTATATTACCTGGAATTTATTTTAGATGATCAGTTTATGACATGACACAAAATTTAATTGGAAATGTCAGGGGTTCAGAGTCTTCATCATCCTTCATGGACTTCATCTTTCCTTTTGAGCATTTCAACAGAAGCTCCATATCCACATACTGTCGCAGCGCCGTCTCTATGAGATCACCGATGGTGGATTCCAGCGTCATCAGCACCTGCACGGGCAAGCACAGGCAAGAGGCTTCTCGACACGGCTACCTTCAACAGCATCTTCGATGGCTGTCTCAGAGGACAATCCGGTGTCGATCTGGCAATGCTCGTGAGGGACTAGAGGTCGAAAATCGTATTTCGACGGCAGAGCTGAATGACGGACACGCCGACCTGGCCATGGAAGGAGGTTGTCCTTCTCCGCTGGTGATTCTCGGACTGACCGTTGCAGCTGCTCTTGGGGGCTGGCATGGACCTAACCTCACGAGACCCCTGCGCCCAACCCTCCTTCCACAATGCCACCATCTCCGACTCCTCCAAACCCTTCCGCCACCTCATCTCCCTCCACCAGAAGCTCGTTTCTCCTTCAAGAACTGGCTAAAGAGACTACAAATTTGAGAAAAAGAGGATTTTTTCAACGCCTTGCCAAACCTCCGACCTTCCGACACTGTGTTGGGGAAACTTGACATTTTAAAGAGATGCCCAACAAGAAATTTTCACAAGAAACCCTGTGAAAGTGGATGAATGTTTGTAAAGGTGATCTCTTTTAGGTGGCGGTGTATGCGTTTGAAGGGAGGAATGATTTTGCCGCTGGAATAAGAGGCCAAGAATAAGGAGAAATTTTGTGGGGTTTCGGATGCGACAATGTTTCTCATTTCTCTAATGTTTGCAGCGTTTGCTGCTTTAGGTTACTTTGCTGTTGGTGAATAAACTCAAGGGGTTATCACTACCAATCTTAGACCAGGCATGATAAGTGCTTTGATGTAGTTGGGTCTTTGCATCAACCTGTTCTTTACTTTCCCATTGATGATGAATCCAGTGAACGAGTTGGTAGAGAGACGGTTGTGGAATTCTAAGTATTGTTTATGGTTAAGGTGGTTATTGGTGTTAAGGGTGAGTTTTGTGGCAATTTTTGTGCCTAACTTTACAGGTTTTTGATCACTTGTTGGTAGTAGCGTCTATGTTATTCTTAGCTTTGTATTGCCAGCTACATTTCACTATTTGGTTTTCAAAGAAGAGATGGATTGGAGGTGTCTTGCTTGTGATGGGGCAATTATGGTTTTTGGGTTGGTTATTGGAGTTACAGGAACCTGGTCTTCATTATCATGCAATTAAGAGTAAGAAGTTGATTTTGGTACATATAGATCACAAAGGCTTCTGATTTTTAGAGTATAAAATGCAAAACTAATGAAATTACATGAAGCTCCGACCACGATCGGTGACGGACGGCGAGGCCCATGGCCTGATTGGATGAAGAATGCACGTTGATTAATGGTCTTCAATTCAATTTTGTCATATCATAATTCTTTAATTTAAATAAAAATTTCACCTAATCAAACCATGCACATCAACATAAACACGTCAACTCCTTTTAATGGCGTGTGTGACAATTTAACGGATAAGGTAAAATTGGCTCAAATTTACAAATATTTGTACCTAATAGAGACAATTTCAAATACAAAGACCCACTTGAGATTTCTCAACAAACTTGAGGACCATCTGAAGGTTTAAACCTATTATTAAATTGTGTTTGAGCACAATTGTTTTTGTAGCATTATTTAACATGCATTTTGAATTAAGAAAATTTATATGTATTCTTTTTAAAATTTAAAAATTAGAATCTATCAAAGTTTTAAACAATAAAAAGTTTTAATTTTATGTCTTAGAGATTATTTAACCTAATTTTAATATACTATTAATTATAATATATTTTAATTATTATTATATTGTTTACATCATTTATCATATACTTTATGTAATAATATTTTAAAATTATTTTTTTAACAGTTTAAAATATTATAGAATCATGAATAATATTAAGAAATATATATAAAATGCAACTAATACTAATAATAATTTAGGCATATATAAAATTATTTAGTATAAAATTAATAAAGAAATTGAAAATATTAAAGTTTACAATTAATTGTTATTAAAAATGTTTCAAACTATAATTAATATGATATTACTTTTTAGTTTTTGAATAATAAAATAAAATAAATATAAATAATAGAATAAAATAAATATAAATAAAAGAATAAAGTAATATTGAATAAGTAAATACAACTTTGGTTTGTGTAATTAAATGTAGAATATAAATGGATATTCTTAAAATTATTTAAATTCTTTTAATAATAATAAATAATAAGGAACTTATTAAAATAAATAATATAATTACATCTATATTATTATATATAATATTATATAAGACGATTCTTCTTTTGGTTTCGACACTTTTTCCAATTTTACCTTTCAAATGACTTTTATTTTAATTTAATCGTTTTTCAAAATTTCATATTTTTTAAAATTAAATAAATATAAAAAAAATTACAAAATAATTAAAAATATATATAATCAAATTGTAAAAATTATTTATATTAACTTTTAGAAATACAATTTCATTAATTTTTGTTATTATAAGAAAAATACCACCATGATATAATAATGGTAATCAGTGATGTCAGAAATTTTTAAGAGTTGTTAAAGGATTTAAACAATACATTAAAATATAAATTATTTTACATTTAGAATAAGAATTTTATAGATTACTATATAATATTTACTATTTTTACTTTAATTTTAAAATTGTTAATAATTATCATATTGAGAAAATTACATTTTAACTTGCAAATAAATATATTTGAAAAAAATAGATTTATAAATAATAAAAATTTAATAAAATAATTTAAATTTCATTTATTTGAAAGTTAAAATATGAAATTAATAAATTATAAAACAATGAAATAAAATAGATACATATTCACTTATGTGTTCGTAAATATTATATCGTAAGTCATCAATCATTTCATGGAACATGTTTAAGTAAAAAAGTTGATTTTTTTTTAATATTGATTATGTGTTCGTTATAAGAGTGTTTTATCCGGCACTTTTTAATTACTTTTAAAATGTAAAAAATTCCCAATTAATTTATTAAAAATATTAAATTAATTAAATTATTATTATTATTATTATTATTATTATTATTATTATTAATTGATTAAAAAATAAATATAAAAAACGAAAAACTTAACCGTAATTAGAAATACGGTTAACACACAATAATTCAAATTAAATATATTAACTGAATTTCCAATGGTTAATATATTTTTTTCAAATTTTTTATTTTTAATTTTATAATATTTTTTTAATAATTAATATTTTATAAATTAAAATATTAGTATATATTTAATTATATGAAAAATATTACATTTATTAATTGTTTTTTATTATTATTAATTAAAAAGAAAAATAAACTATAAAAAAAACCTTAACCAATATTCGAATCCTGATTAAGAAAATATTTTAATCGATTTTTAGACTTAAGTAAATATCTTAATCGGCTTTCGAATGCTTATACGGGTTGATATTTGAAGATGTAAGATGAAAATTGAAAGGTGTAGAAGAAACGTTATAAATGTCACTCTTGATTTGTACGGAATCATAAATGAATTTTTGATCAACAATTCAAAACCAAATGTTGGTAAATTGATTATTTGTGTGATGTAAATGTCACTTTTGATTTGTAGGGAGTCATAAACGAGTTATTGATCAACAACTCAAAATCAAACGTTTGTAGATTGATTTTTGGACTTGTTTAAATCTTCGTATTATAATATTTTCTGTATGTTGTAAAATAGCTATAAAAAAAATCAATTGTGTGGGATTGTTATTCTTTTATGATTGCAACATTTGTAGGTTAAATCAAATGCATTTTGACTTTCCATTATGGAGAATTGGTGTATAAGTTACTTTATTTAGGGGCTAACTTTAATCTAATGTCCTTTGGCAACAGAGAAATACATATAATTTTGATATTATGTGTGTTTTTAGTAGACGAAATGAAACCTGGAAATGAGGATTTTTTTTAATTAGAAAAAAAATTTTATATATATAATTTAATTCCATTATTCTTTTCATATATGAACAGAATTTAACTATTGATCATCTCCATGTTTAAAAGTTTTATTTATATATTTGTAAATTGTGTTCCACTTTATTCGGAAATACACATCTAATATGATTGTGAATAGACTACTATGAAACATGCACAAATCTTAGATTAAAATATGATATGCTGAAAAGAAGCCTTGGAATTATTAGACAACAGATAATTGGATCATTCAAAGATTACACCCCAAAAAGCCAGCAAAACAATAAACAACAATTCGCCTAAGTATGAATTATATATTTTCCAAGCTACATCCACGCAACACAAAGCTAATAAATTTAAAAAAAGAATTCATGAAAAGTATATCTATTTGATAAGAAGGGAAAAAAGCAATAATTAAGAGCAAAAGAAAGGGAAATGGCTATATGATTTGGTAGCAAATCTCTGACCATCATATCTCATATCTCCATTTTTGTGATTACGGTTATCAACTAAAAATTACGTCAACCACGTTATCTTGATTGTTTTTGTT